TGAGTCGTGCAGCCTCTGGTTGATTTCTTTGGCCTGACTCTTGGTGTTTTTAATATCTCTGCCCTCCTGGTCGGGAGAGTGAGTGGCAGGGAATTCACCTTTTTTGGGGTGAGGGGGAGCAAAGAAAACAGAATTTGTTTGGGAGACTAATTAGGACCTGGACATTTGAAAAATTTCAGAAGTTGTTTTGCAGCCACTGTGCTCAATTTCAAATGAGACTGTAATCTCTCTGCTCAGAGCAGGTGCTCTTTTTGGAACTGAGGAACCAATACTTACCTGCCTAGCAGGAAACTCCCCTGATGATTCCCCTTTCCTCTCTGTGTTAGTCCATTCTCATACTGCTATAAAGAAATACCTGGGGCCGGGCGCAGTGGCTCACGCCTATAGTCCCAGCAGTTTGGGAGACTGAGGTGGGTGGATCACAAGGTCAAGAGATCGAGACCATTCTGGTCAACATGGTGAAACCCCATCTCTACCAAAAATACAAAAATTAGCTGGGCATTTTTGTGGCGCACACCTGTAGTCCCAGCTACTTGGGAGGCTGAGGCAGGAGAATTGCTTGAACCCAGGAGGCGGAGGTTGCGGTGAGCCAAGATCGTGCCATTGCACTGCAGCCTGGGTAACAAAAGCAAAACTCTGTCTCAAAAAAATACCTGGCCACGTGCTGTGGCTCACACTTGTAATCCCAGCTCTTTGGGAGGTCAAGGTGGGCTGATCACTTGAGGCCAGGAGTTTGAGACCAGCCTGGCCAACATGTGTAACCCTGCCTCTACTAAAAGCACAAAAACTAGCCAGGTATGGTGGGGTGCATGCCTGTAATCCCAGCTACTTGGGAGGCTGAGGCATGAGACTTGCTTGAATCTGGGAGGTGGAGGTTGCAGTGAGTCCAGATGGCGCCGCTGTACTCCAGCCTGGGTGACAGAATGAGACTCTGTCTCAAAAAAAAGAAAAGAAATACTGAGACTGGATGATTTATAAAGGAAAGAGGTTTAATTGACTCACAGTTTTACATGGCTGGGGAGGTCTCAAAAAACTTACAATCATGTTGGAAGGTGAATGGGAAGTGAGTGTCTTCTTCAGAAGGTGGCAGGAAAGAGAAAAAGCACAGGGGAAATTGCCACTTATAAAACTATCAGGTCTTGTAAGAACTCAGCATCATGAGAACAGCATAGGGGAAACCACCCCCATGAACCAGTCACCTCCCACCCGGTCTGTCCCTTGACAGGTGGGGATTACCATATTTGAGATGAGATTTGAGTGGGGACACAGCTAGACCATATCACTGTCCCAGCTCTTCATGGTTTGGTTCTAACGAAAGACTTCCAATTCCCCAAACGAGTAGGGCATGTCATTCCTTTGCATATTCTATTCCTTCTGTCTGGAATGCTTCTCCCCAGATTTTCCATCTTGCAAATGTGTAGCATCACATTCTTGGTGCAAACTTTGTCTCCTCTCCCACCCCCATCCAATACTGTACATACCTTCATTAGAGCCTGTATCTGTTGAATGGTCTTGAGAGACTGGGGTGTTGTGAGGGAAGGGACTGTCTCCTAATTCTGAGGAAAACCTCTTTTGCTCCATTGAACATTTTCCTGTGCTGCCCTCTCCCAGTTGCTGCTTTTTTTGTTTTTGACATGGAATCTTCCTCTGTTGCCCAGGCTGGAGTGCAGTGGCACAGTCTCAGCTCACTGTAATGTCCGCCCCCTGGGTTCAAATGATTCTCCTGCCTCAGCCTCCTGAGTAGCTGGGATTACAGGTGTGCAGCACTACACCTGGCTAATTTTTTATTATTAGTAGAGACAGGGGTTCTCCATGTTGGCCAGGCTGGTCTTGAACTCCTGACCTCAAGTGATCCGCCTGCCTCAGCCTCCCGTAGTGCTGGGATTACAGGCGTGAGCCACAGTGCCCGGCCCCCAGTTGCTGCTGATGGAACTGAGCGCTCTCCACATCTTGGCATCATGACTCTGGCGCATTCCTCCAGCATCAGATCAGAGAAACACAAAGGCCCTGAATCCTGCCTAGCACTTGGGTAGCAGTTTTTACATCTCTCTGCAACTATGAAACCCATTGTTTAAATAAAAGTTTGGCAATCCTGGGATGTGAAACCAAAGCAGTGGGAGAAGTGCAGGGTCTGTGGATTCTGTAGAGGCCCTCAGTTGGGTTCTAGGAATTCTGTCTGGAGACCAGTGAACTTGACGACTGGGGTTGGTGGGGTATTTCCAGATAGTTCTCAGCCGAAAGCTGGTTTCTTGTTTGGGAGATCTGGTTAAGATTTTGGTTTGGCCCCTGTAACAAAGGTCAGAATCACAGTGACTTAGAAAGTCAAACAGGATAGAAGTTGATGTCTCACTGTCATGTTATAATTGATCGTAAGCAGTCTGGGGTGTTGGGATCTGGCAAGCCTCCCTGTGTGGTACTGCTCTGCTCTGCTCATCCTCAATAGATGGCTTCCAGCTGTGGTGCCATTTTCCAGCAGCACTGCCATGCTCCAGCCTGTGGGCAGGGTGAACAGGGACTGGCGGACAAGCCCATTCCCTCTAAAGGCTCAACCCAGAAGCCACGTGCAACACTTCTGCTCCCATCCCATTGCCATAATGTAGTCACGTGGCCCATGTCACCACAATGTAGTCACGTGGCACCACGTAGCCACCAGAGAGCCTGGGAAGTGTAGTCTTTAACTGGGCAGCCGTGTGCCCTGATAAAATTTGGGAATTTTAATACTAAAGGAAGAAAGGGAGAATGAATATTCTGGGTCAACAAGCAGACTGCCCAGGCAGTGACCATCCTAACCCGGAAAGGTTGCAAATGCCTTCCCCATCATCGAATTAATTCACCATGTACCAAGCACGGACTCTGAGCCAGTCATTGTGCATGACACACAGGATCTTCCTTCAGGCCTTGTGCTTACTGTCTGGAAGGGGCAGACAGATTGATCAACATCCAGGGTACTCAGGGCTCCTGGGGCTGCTGGAGGTGGTTTGGGATGGGGCACATGGAGGAGAGGTCTGCAGTGCTTGGAGGATTAGTAGGTGTTTACCAAGTATTGGTAAACGGTGTCCTCAGGATGCCAGAGCATTCCAAAGAGGTGGCATATGTGACACCTGGCCAGGACCCGTTTTCCATTGCTGAGGGCTGTGGATGTCTTCCTGTGGTGGGGGTGCTGAGTTGGGAGGTCGGGAAGGAGAAGTGTTGACATTTTGGTGCTACGATCCCAGCTTGATTCTCCAGCTTTCTACCCACACCCTCTTCCCCTGCACTTGGTTCTCTCCACTTTCCTGGGCTTTGCGCTGTGGCTTTGGTTGTGCTATTTCTTCAGCCTGGTGTGCCCTTCCTTCTGCTCTTTGCCAGCCCAGGTCCTACTTATCATCTAAGGCCCAGCCAGGAGGTGTTGTCACTCTGGGCCATAGAGTTTTCCTGCTGAGAACTCAGTAGCTCTAGCCCACAGTCTATAAATGGAATTGTGGCTCTGAGAGGGTAAGTCTTATGCCCCTGCAGCTATAATAGGTAGCCTGGGTACTGATCTCCCGTTGTTTCTGCTCCCTGGCCTAGAGACTGCCCAAAGCAGCCATTTTCAGATGCAGGGTCCCTGTGGCAGGGAGGTGAGGAGGGGTGGGTGGCTGGGAGGGGCCGGGAGAAAGGAGAGAGGGGTTCTCTGTTCAGGTTGAAAGAGGTACTTTCTTGTAATTGCCTCCCTGAATCAATGAGGTTAAATCATTGAGTGACAAACTTGTGTTTAAATCTAGGACTCTGAATCCCAAGTTCTATTTTATTTTATGGAATTTAAAAATATACAGAAAAGAAGTTCAACATGGACAATCTTACCACTCAGAAATAACCGCTATTAATATCCTGGCATATATACTTTCAGTTTTTAAAGAAGAATTACTTTTTTTTCTAAAAGTGACATAAAAGGACTTTGCTCAATGTAGAGAATTTACAAATTACCTCAAATCCTATCATTCAGAAATTCCTATTGTTCACACTAAGTGATAATCATTTTAGACATCTTTGTAGGGACATAGATAGATATAAAGGTAGAAATTTAGACATACTTCTGTAAACAGTGATGATATCCCTGTCCAGTTTCATAGCCACTAGCTACACTACATGTAGCTACTGACCACTTGAAATGTGGTCAGTTAGAGTTGACATGTGCTGTGAATGTAAAATACACACAAGATTTGGAAAACTTAATATGGAAAAAGAATGTAAGAAGTCATTCATGTTTTTAAAATACTGATTGCATGTTGACCTGACAGTATTTTGGTTAAATAAAATATGTTATTTAAATTAATTCCACTTTTTTTTTTTAAACTATAGAGACGGGGTCTCGCTATGTTGCCCAGGCTGGTCTCAAACTCCTGGGCTCAAGTGATCTGCCTGTCTAGGCCTCCTAAAGTGTTGAGATTACAGGCATGAACCACTGAGGCTGGTCTTCTTTTCCTTCTTTACTATGGCTATTAGAATATTTAAATTAAGGCTGGGTGCGGTGGCTCACACCTGTAATCCCAGTACTTTGGGAGGCTGAGTCTGGCAGATCACCTGAGGTCAGGAGTTCAAAACAAGCCTGGACAACATGGAGAAACCTTTTCTCCACTAAAAATACAACAATTAGCCTGGAATGGTGGCGGGTTCCTGTAATCCCAGCTACTTGGGAGGCCGAGAATCACCTGAACCCAGGAGGCGAAGGTGGCAGTGAGCTAAGATTGCACCATTGTACTCCATCCTGGGTGACAAGAGCAAAACTGTCTCCAACAAAACAAAACAAAATTTGAAAATTACATGTGTGACTTGCATATATTTCTGTTCAACAGCACTGCTCTATTATAGTATTAATAAGTTTATTACTAAATATTAATGGAAAAAAGAAACTAAAATGAATTTAAAAGAATTTTTGAGCTGTAAATAAATGGTTCCTCATTATTTCCTGAGAGTTCACTAAAATTTAAAAATAGAGCTTTTTGAAAAATAGTAAGAGATTAGGGTGATTTTTTTTTTAAAGCACATGGTACAGTGTTTTGAAAGATAAAGACATGGCACTCTGAAGCTCCTCCCAATTTCTGATATGATTGTTTTTGCAATGCATTGGTTTCTGACACTTCATATTCTGTTCTGAGGCTCTGACTCTTGAGGGCATTTAGCATTCTGAACACTCAGGCATTTGCCTACGTGTCCTTTGTTCCTGAGTCCTGGGTGTCGTTATGAGCTGGGTTTCATTTCTTGAGAAGGACCCATGTGTCTAGGAGGAGGCTGCTTGTGGCCTTTGTGTCGGGCTGGTGTCTGGACTGGCCCCACGCATTGGGGTCGCACTTTGTACCCCGGTGTACCCTGTAGGCGCTGCTTCACTGTCTTCGGTGTTGAATGCTGCTGTGGCCCTGCCTGATTTCCTTTTTTTTATTAAGTCAGAGTCTTGCTCTGTCGCCCAGGCTGGAGTGCAGTGATGTGATCTTGGCTCACTGCAACCTCCACTCCCAGGTTTAAGTGATTCTGTTGCCTCAGCCTCCCCAGTAGCTGGGATTACAGTCATATACCACCATGCCTGGCTATTTTTTTGGTATTTTTAGTAGAGACAGGGTTTCACCATATTGGCTAGGCTGGTCTCAAACTCATGACCCCAGGTGATCCACCCGCTTCAGCCTCCCAAAGTGTTGGGATTACAGATGTGAGCCACCACACTCTGCCAGATTTCCTTTCTGTCCTTGAATGTCTAATGAATTCTTGAGTTCAGTAACTGAACTCAGCCCTGTTTAAGTGTTACTTGGCTCCTCCTAGGACTCTAGGTCTCATCTCTAAAAGGTTATTTTAGGGTTCCCAGTACATAGAGCACTGCTAATACCTATAGATTCAGCAGTTCTGGGCTGACTGCTGAGAGCATGTACAAAAGGCTTTTGTTTTAGCTCTTGGCCTTTGGTGGGCTGACCACCCAGAATCGTAGGGGGTCCTCGGTGATGACTTTTTGAATTAATTTTAGATTGCATATATAATAAGCAAATCTATTCTTGTTTTTAGGACCAGGATGTTAAAGACAAAGCTAAAGTCAATTTTTTGCCACCAACCCCGTGGAGGTCCCTCCCCAGCACCCCAGCTGTAACTACTATCATGGGCTCAAGATACGTCCTTCCAGACCTTTGAAAACTGATTTTATATTTCAATATAATTATGTTCTGTCCCATCCCAGAAAAATAGACCATGCTTAGGCCGGTCTGAGTTATTCTGGGTTTATTCAGAACAGTCTGGGGGGTGGGTGTGGATTCCAAAGAGCTGCTCCTGGAGTTAGCTTTTCATTTGAATTAAGCCAATACAGACATCAGCAAGTTATAACCATGAGCAGTGTGGTCTCCGGAGTAGAAGCTTCATGCAGGCATTCCCAGATATGTGTATAGTTTTGACTTTTAGACAGAAACAGACTAACAGTCTTGTTCTGCAGAAATACAGACTTGCATTTCAGGTCATTTTGACAGACTCATTTTATGATCTGGCTGTATAGACATTCTACCAGCTCCACAGGAGACAACAGAAGAGCTTGGGGATTTCATTGCGCCACTCTTGAAAATACATAACACTGGTGTGTGTGTGTGTGTGTGTGTGTGTGTGTGTGTGCGTGCATCTGTGTATTTTGAGATGGAGTCTCACTCTGTCACCCAGGCTGGAGTGCAATAGCACCTTCTCAAGTCACTGCAACCCGGGTTCAAGCGATTCTCCCGCCTCAGCCTCCCAAATAGCTGGGACTAGAGATATGTACCACCCACACCTAGCTAATTTTTGTATTTTTAGTAGAGGTGGCATTTCATCACGTTGGCCAGGCTGGTCTTGAATTCCTGACCTCGTGATCCACCTGCCTCAGCCTCCCAAAGTGCTGAGATTACAGGCATAAGCCACCATGCCCGACCTTGTATGTGTTTTATAAAGATTATACCGAATACATCATAAGACGCCTTTGTTTTTTTCTGACTGAACTTGAACTCTCTCCATGTTAATATGTATCTACTGGCAAAGAAATGACTGAGTGCTTGAGCCAATACCTGTGTGAGTACATGCTACCGGGACTTTTTTTAGTGAACTAAATTCACTATGAAGTGGTCCCCACCTAGACCCTGTGACCCTGTGAAGGCTATGACGTTCCAGAAGGACCTTGCTGGGGGCCTGGAGCCTCAGGGTCTGGTGGTTCTGGGGTCCCATGGTGGGGGTTCCACTTGCAGGCCATTCCTTCCTCCCATCTGGCTTCTCATTTTGTTTTTATAGATGACATGGCAGAACTTCTTCTCGGGGAGTCAAAGCTGGAGCAGTACCTGAAGGAACACCCACTGAGGCAGGGGGCCAGTCCCCGGGGCCCCAAGCCCCAGCTGACTGAGGTCCGCAAGCATCTGACCGCCGCCCTGGACCGAGGGAACCTTAAGGTACGGTGGGCCTCTGGACAGTGTGTGGTTTAGAAGGGTGCTCAGGGTCAAGCCGGATGACATTTGAGGCTCACCTGCACACTGGCATGGCTTGTCTTCTTAGAAGCGGGCCAGCTCCCTGTTGGGTGGATGCATCAATCTCTAGGCTGGCTGACCACTGTGGGGCCTTCTGGCCCAATAGGGTCTCTCTGATGAGAGTCTTCAATGACACGCCATCCTGTACAATGCCACTTATCTCTCAGATGCTTGAATTGAAGCTCTCCGATATAACCCAGACCTTAACCTGACATGTGAACCAGTTCTAGAAAAGACAGGAAGGGGTGCTCGACACACAGTTTCCTGCTCATGAATAAAACAGGCCACTGTGGCCCAGAGCTATGGGGGGTTCCAAACTGGTGCCAGCAGGCCTGATGTCACAGTTAGGAGGGGGCCAAGAACTTCCCTGCACCTGAGCAAGGACCCTCACCCTCTGGCACAGCGAATCTTAGGCGCTGCCCCCTATCTGTCCACTCTGTTTTCTGGTCTCCTTATACCCAGGTTTCCTTTCCCTCTCATGTGGCTTTCCTTCTTTTCTTCTTGGGATTCTCCATTCAGTTCCTTCTGCTTTTCATGGGGGTCATCTCTTCCCACCCTGCCCTTCTGCCCCCCGGGTGGCCCCCTGGGTCCCCTGGCTCCAGATGCTTCCCCTAGTTCAGATGGCTATATGCAGCCTCCTCCATCCTGCTTGTCTTCCCCAGGACCCCCCTTCTTATTTCCCCAGGATGTATTTCCCACTGAGGACAGTCTTTGGTGAACTTCTGGAGCTCTGACTTTTGTTTCCTTTTAATTTTGATGATGTCTTTTTCATTTTTCTTCTCTTCCTGTCTCAGAATCCTCTGGGGCTCTGTTTTTGGTCTTTATTCTTGTCTGTGTGTGCACGCTTCCCCCTGAGAAGCCATGTTTTCCTTGGGTTTACCTTTCATATCTGTACTGCTCCTGACTTCCTGAGTGACCCTGGGGAGGTTATTCGCCTCTCTGAAGTTTCTGTAGGTTCGAATGGGGTGGGCTCATAGAGGGGTGAGCTCGGACCTTCCAGGCTCCTGCATGCTCTAAGCCTGTGAGCTTTCATTTTGAACTGTTCCTCTTCTTGGTCGTCTGGCGCCTCCTTGGCCCTGTTGCAACGGAGGGCTTGGGCAACCTTTAAGTCAGTTAGGTCTTGGTCAGTGGTGTAGCCCCAGACTTCTGGAAACCCTGATAGAGAGCTGCTTTCAAAATGGTCTCTATGTATGTTGTCTGCATGGGACACAGCTCCAGGCCCCTAGAAGGTGGCTGGAGAGTGTCACCTCTATATAGGGACCCCGCCCCAGGCCCCTAGTGGGTGGCCGGTGAGGTCAAAAACACAAAAACATAAAGCCCCTCATAGGGAGCCCAGGTGCCTAAGGACTTCCTGTAGCATTTGGGCTTCAAAAACCAGGTCACTTTCCCTGGTCAGTTTCTCTGTAAGGGCCATGCCACACTTTGGTGTGTGGCACATCACTCGAGGCCAGGAGTTTAATACCAGCCTGGCCAACATGGTAAAACCCTGTATCCATGTCATATGTTCTTAACATATAACATGGTGATGAGATGATGACACAGGTGGACACAGGGGTAGGTCTTGATTAGCAGGAGGGAGTGGAGGGACAGCAGGCAAGTGGGCCACAGCTCACAGTGATGGCTAGCCAGGCTCAAGTGTGTGTCTGCCAGGAGGTGTGAGAGCAGATATCTGGCTCATTTCTTTCCCCTGTCTACCCTCCACAACTTCGTCTTGAAAAATTCCCCTTTCATTTCACCAGGTGCTGACAGGTTTTGCTTTCTATCCTCTACAATGTAGCGTGTAGTAAGCACATGAATTTATTTTATTATTTATTTATTTATTTTGAGACAGAGTGTTGCTCTGTTGCCCAGGCTGGAGTGCCAGAGCGCCATCTCAGCTCACTGCAACCACCCCCTCCCAGGTTCTAGCGATTCTCCTGCCTCAGCCTCCTGAGGAGCTGTGGCTACAGGCATGTGCCACCACACCTAGCTAATGTTTGTATTTTTAGTAGAGATGGGGTTTCACCATGTTGGCCAGGCTGGTCTCTAAATCCTGACCTCAGGTGATCCACCTGCCTTGGACTCCCAAAGTGCTGGGATTACAGGTGTGAGCCACCGCACCCAGCCATTGAATTTAATTCAAATTAAAATGCTTCGGTTTGAGTCCACTTCTGGATTTATAAGCTGTGTGATCTTGAGAAATTACTTAACCTCTCTGAGCACCATGTTTCTCAGCTACAGGCCTACTTAGCCCAGGATTGTTTTGAGGCTCAGATGGAGAAATTCTTTTACAGCTGTACAGCACTGGATACACATCATTTCTTGCTGTGTTATTGGTTCTACCTGGAGAGTTTTTCTCCCATTGCTGTTTTCAGCTTCCTCCATCTTATAAAGAATGTTCCAAAGCCGCACATCTTTTGCATGGGTGTGCTGTCCCGCTCACTTCGGCTAATGTGAAACTTTCTTCTTCCTTGAGCTTAAGTCCAGCTTGTCTTGAGTGAACTGAGGCTGGGAAGACCAGAGCCAGCCAGCCAGGTAGAGAGATGGAAAGAGTCCTGGACTAGGAGTCAGGACATCTGGTTTCTGATTCAGGGAAAGGAAATGGTCCTCATTGTGAGCAAGGTGGCCCCCAGCACCGTGTTGGGCTCTTGTCCCATGCCTGAACAGCCGAGGCGCCCTGGCCAACCTGTGTCCTGTGCTTCCATGCAGACCAGACTCGTCCAGCGAGGCTTTCCCAGTGTGTCCAAACTGTGCCTCTAGGCTTGCAATTTTCTTCAAGCTCTTTCTCCACCTACCTCTTCAGTTTGCTTTTATTAACCGTTTTTTCCCCCTTTGGTAAAATATACATAACATACAAGCTAACATCATAGCTCTTTGTAAGTGTACAGTATAGTGGCATTAAGTACATTATCATTGTCGCTCAGCTGTCAGCACCCTCCATCTCCAGGACTCTTTGCATCTTCCCAAACGGAACCTCTTGTGATGTGTCCATTAATGCTAACTCCTCACTCCCCCTCCTCCTTCAATTTGCCTTAATCCAATGGTTCTCAGATGCTAGAAGCTTGGGGAGGGAGGGATGACTTCTCAGAATGTCCTAGGAAATGTTTTCAAAATACCTAAGCCTGGCCTGCCCCTAACCTGGGTGGAGAATCCCTATGGTAAATGCTTTTATTTATTTATTTTTTTGAGATAGAATCTTGCTCTGTTGCCTAGGCTGGAGTGCAGTGGCATGATCTCAGCCACTGCAATCTCCACCTCCTGGGTTCCAGCAATTCTTGTGCCTCAGCCTCCTGAGTAGCTGGGGTTACAGATGCCTGCCATTATGCCCCGCTAATTTTTGTATTTTTAGTAGAGATGGGGTTTGCCATGTTGCCACGCTGGTCACGAACTTCTGGTGTCAAGTGATCTGCCTGCCTCAGCCCCCCAAAGTGCTGGGATTACAGGTGTGAGCCACTGCACCTGGCCTGGATGCTTTTTTTTTTTTTGCTTTTCTAAGTCTGCATTGATTTCTCTGTCTCCAGACATAATTCAAATTCCTCTGGCACATCTCCCTTGGGCCACCCATAAATGCTTTTGCCCCCATCAGCCCTCCTTGTCCACTCTGCCATCCTCTCCAGTGCTGCCCAATGCCCCTGCTCTCTTCCAAGAAATGCCTGGAAGCCGATGACCTTGGCTGAGACAGCTGTTGTAACACGCGTACCTGGCTGCCTGCGCCATGCTGTCCACGCATCAAAGCTCTAGGTTACAGTATAAATAGTGCAGTTTCATGGTGTGCTTCTGGAAGCAAAAAAACTCAGCTTTGAACAGCTTGGGCTCTGAAGAGAAGGCCTGGCCAAGGAAGATAAATCTGTTTCCTAATATAGGTGGCAGGGTGGCCTGTTCTCTCCCTAGGTGCTGGGGGACGGATCAGGGAGGAGGGCATTGATGAGGCTTTGGGGAATGGGTCTGGGCAGGTCACCTCGATGACTGCGAGGAAAGGGGACCCACAGAGAACTTCTAGCCCTCAGCCTCTGGGGAGGGGACCAGGTCACCTCAGTTTACAAACTTCAGTGGTTCAGTGAGAAACTTTGTCCTGGAAAGCAAGTCCTGATCCTCGCATCCATTTGGGAAGGCTCTCCTTGATGATTTGGGTTACAGGGTTGTGGTGCATCTCTGGTGTCATGGCAGGACCCACCAGGATGTCTGGGCAGCTTCCTTTTCGGAGTCAGGTGCTTGTATGTTGAACTTATGAAGCATCCCAGCTGGCCCAGCCATTGGGAGCCGGCCTGAGGGGAGCCGCAGGGTTTTTATTTTGATTAAGTTTTTGCAACAGCTTTATCGAAATGTAATTCACATGCCATGCAATTCACCCATTCAGAGTGTCCAGTTCAGTGATTTTTAGTATATCCATGATGTATGCAACCATCACCACAGTCAATTCCAGAACATTTTTATCACCTCCCAAAGAAACCCCGTAACCAGTAGCAGCACCACCTCCCATTCCTAGCCAAGACTAATCTGTTGTTTTCTAACTCTAGACTTGACTATCCTGGACATTTCATACACAGGGAAGCATACAATATGTGGCCTCTCGTAACTGGCTTTTTCACTTGGCATCATGTTTCTGGGGTTCATCTATGTGGTAACACGTAACAGTACGTCATTCTTTACTACAACTGAGTCATTTTCCATTTTATGGCCAGCCCACATTTTGATGGACATTTGGGTTGTTTCCACTGTTTGGCTATTGTGGATAATACTGGTCAGAACATTCATGTCTAAGCTGTTGTGTGGGAGCTGTGAGGTTTCAGGGCAGCAGCTGGCCGGGCTCTGAGGCGTCATGCCTAATGTTGTAGGAAAATGCTTTTCTTTCTCTCCTTTTCCTTCTAGTCAGAATTCCTACAAGAATCCAATCTGATCATGGCCAAGTTGAATTATGTGGAAGGTGATTATAAAGAAGCTCTGAACATTTATGCCCGGGTGGGCCTGGACGACCTGCCGCTGACAGCTGCCCCCCCCTACAGGCTGCGGGTGATTGCAGAAGCCTATGCTACCAAAGGTGAGGCCCCTGCCTTCTCCCCCGAGTGTCCTGTGCCCTGGAGCCAGCAGTGCCTCCTGGGAGCTACCTGTTTGACCCCTGGCCCTTGGCTGGTGACGAACTTGACAGTTCCCAGCAAAGCTGCTGGGGCTGCCCCCCGCATGTCCTGGGTCATGTTAAGCCCAGCAGGGCTTTGTTCCTCTGAGCCAGTGGCCATCAGTTGTCACTGAAGGGGATGAAGGAAAAACATTTCAGCAAAGTTTCTTGATAAGTAATAATGCAACTTCAGCAGGGACCTTTCTTGGTAATTCAAATTCTGCACAGCATCTACAGGGATTTGAATCATGTGGTCAGTTAGCCACATGGCCGATGGTGTTTTTATTCATTAATGCCGCCTCTGGGTTAATGAAGGCTAATGGGTTGACATGCAGCAATCACTAGCAATCAGTCTTCTCTTGGATAACTTTGCACCTATTCAGGGACTAGAAGAACGTGTAAATATCTCACTGCTCTGAAGCAGTTTGCACTCTAGTGCGAGAGAATGCAATCTCATGGGAAGAAAACGTCTGGAAGCCCAGGACACATGGACGATTGGATCATTCCCAGCCGCCGCTTCCTCAGTCTGTCATGGGCATAATCACACCCACTTCATGGGGCTCTTAGCAGGATTAAGTCAAATAATGTACATAAAGCATTTAATAATGTAGTTCCTGGCACATTCTAAGTGCTACATAGAAATTTTAAAATCTCAACCCCAAACAGTGCAGCAAATGGCAAAAGCTAGGGATGGGTAATAGGGAGAGGTCACTACAGGCCTCAGGGCCAGGAAGGCTTCCTAGAGGAAAAGGGACACTTTGAATGGGACTTCTTAAGGCTATAGCAAGATTATCTGGAGTGGCTCCTGTCCTTCAGCTGTCTGCTCTTCAAACCATGTCCCGTGACTGTGGCTGGCAGAGGCCAGGGCCCTAGGTGGCGTGCCCTTGCAGAACAGTCGTGAGCTGGCCATTGTATGCTGGCTGCACTTTCTGGCTGAGATGTGGGGGCTACAGGTGGTTCAGCCTGTCTGACTCAGTTGTCCTATGCAGCGCTGAACAAAGACCCAGCCCACGGCACACTTCTTAAGAGCTCTGTGATAGGGATGATATATTCACCCAGTTCCCTGGGGACCCTTGAGTACTGCCAGGCTCATCTCATTAATCTTCTAAACGTCTCCGTGGGCTAGGAAAAGATGCAGTTGCTTTTGACAGGACACTCTGGCAGTTTATTGGGCATGCTCCTTTGAGGCTGCCTCTGGGGTTCTGGCAGCATTTGGCTTTTGTTTGCATCTCTCTGAACTATCGGAAGTACTGGGGTCTGTGCCACACGGCCACGCTCTTCTCTCCCTGGTGCTTAGGGACCAGCGACCTCACGTGCCTCAGGAGCTGTCTGTGTGTGACCAGCAACAGTATTCTGGAAGGAGAGCAAAGCATCATCTGGCAATTTCTACTGCCCAATTGCCCTGGGGCCTGGTGGGGTTGTACCAGGAGTTGGCTTGCTAGGTGGTAGTGGGAGGTAGCTTTAGGGCTTGCCCAAAGCCCACGTCCTAGGATTGGTTCTGAGATAGTTAAATGGAGACAGGTTGTCTACAGCTGGCACTGCCAGCTCAGTCTTGTGGCTGCCATGAAAGGTGGGCAAGGAGGACAGGCAACTTGGTCCCTGAGCCTGGCTCTGGGTGATATGTGGTCAGCAGTGGGCCCCCTACCCGTGAGGTTGTGGCATTGGCTCTTGGGACACCTGCTGGCTCATGGGAGACCTGGCTCTGGCTAGTTTCTGACTTCCATGAGTACGGGTAGAGTCACATGTGTACCGGAAGAGGGAAGGGTCACTTCTGTCTAGAGGAAGTGGCCAGCATTCTGGGGGCTCCAGGCCCCAGAGAGCCTGGTGGGCCAGGTGAGAGGCAGTGTAGAGGGATGGTTATGGGCACCGGCCCCGACCATCTCCCTGGGTCCTACTCTTTGTCTGTCATATACTGGCTCTGGGACCTTGTGCCCCAGGTTCCTTAGCCTGTCTCTGCCCCCGTTTCCCCACCCATCAAGCTCTCATTGGCTGGTCATGAGGACACATGAGATAGTACACAAAATGCTACTATCTAGTACACAGTGACGGCACATAGTCGATGCCAATGTCAGCTGAAGAGCTGAGTGTTGGGTAGGGCGTGGGGGACTAGAAGTGACTTGTACTAACAGGGCAGTTGCTGGCCAGATTCATGGAGATGCCCAGAGACAGGCCCGTTCTCTGAGGAGTTCAAGAGGTCCTTGGTCCTAGCTCTGTGTAGGAATATTCTTGGCTTTTCTTTCTTCACCAAGGTCCCTGAGGATTTGTAAGGGGAGGCTGCTGCCAGGGGTGTCTCTGAATGTTCGTCCCTCCCCATGCTCTCTGCACACTGCTCTAGGCAGTGGGATTGACCTGCACACTTTCTTTGTCACCTCAACTTTTCCCTGGTGACCTGAGGTCTGAGTTGATCAGGGCTTTCAGATAGAGTCCCTCCTTCTGCCAGGCAATGCTAGCCTTTGCTGATTGGGAACTGGAAGCTTGCCCCATTCAGCTCCCAGAACGTCCTGCGGGCCAGCACCATGTTAGGGGATATCCTGTCTCTAACTCTCCAAACCCTGAATTTACAGAGGAGAGAAATGAGATGAGGTGAGGTTATGCGGAAGCGCAGCAGTGGCCCTGGTGTATTGAGAGATTCCTGTGCACCAGCTGTGATGCCCTTTTTCCCAGTATCTCATTCACTGGTTTTCTCTTCTTTTTTTTTTTTTTTAAGATGGAGTGTCACTCTGTCGCCCAGGCTGGAGTGCAATGATGCAATCTCGGCTCAGTGCAACCTTTGCCTCCTGGGTTCAAGCGATTCTCCTGTCTCAGCCTCCCAAGTAGCTGGCATACAGGTGTGTACCATCACACCTGGCTAATTTTTGTATCTTCTCAGTAGAGATAGGGTTTCACCATGTTGGCCAGGCTGGTCTTGAACTCCTTATCTTAGGTGATCTGCCCACTTTGGCCTCCCAAAGTTTTGGGATTACAGCCGTGAGCCACTGCACTTGGCCTTCATTCAGTCTTTATTATGAGGTAAACACCATTATTCTTTCCATTTTACGAAAGAGAAACCTGGGGCCCAGGGAGGTTAGGTAAACCTACCCAGGGTCCTACAGCTAGGAAGTGGTCGAGCCAGGACTTGACCTCAGAGACTGGCTCCAGGGCCCTTGTTCTTCTCTGAGTGGCAGAAGGGAGTCTCAGTCTGACTGGTGAAGGGTCAGTCTGATGCCATGTTCCTAAATGCTCTTCTCTATTGGCACATGGATTGGAACTTGCTTGGGCCAGGTAAGGTTTCTTTGGGGAGAAAACATTCAGGTCACTCGAGAATGCCCTAGATTTGTACTCCTGCCTTTGGTTCCTCTACCTTAATGTCTCACCCTTGCTGGGTTTCCTCCTGCAAGTTCTGTCCTTCAAGCTTATATTGCTGGCTTCTCCGAAGCCTCCTGGGACTCACCCATTCAGAGTCAATCATATTCGATGTTGTCATAGCACAGTACATTAAAACAGAATCGTGAGAAACAACTGGAGTTGTACGCATGCTCACTGAGGTCGTTCTTCCTTTGCCAATCTCGCATTCCTAGAGGAAGGTCATATACCCGTTACATGCCGCAATTTGGCCTCTTGGCGCGCATGCTTGAGCGCACTCCCCCAATTCCTGAGAACTTGTTGGGAAGCTGCTGATCACCAGTTTCAAGTTTCTTCTATCTATCGGGAGACTGCCTTTTCCTGATGCGGGCTGCTACCAATTATTATTTTAGAGAAATAGCTAACAACTGCCTGACCATCACCTGATGGTCACCTGATGTTCTTGGTGTGTGTGTGTGTGTCGGGGGAGCCCTCTCCTGCCTGCTCATGCCTGCCTGACTGCCTTCTATACCAGGGCTACTTGCTTTCTCAGCATTCTCTGCGGCTTTCTTTTCTATGTACCTAGACGAAAGTAAGCACCTATCTTTGCTTTATAAACAGAGACATAATTAATAGAAGAGACAGAGTGAACAGTTCCCTTTTTATTAAAATAAAATTTTAAAACTGAACATTTTTAAATTTAAAATTTAAAAACTGGGACCTGGAGACAGCAGGGGAATTAACTTCCTTTCTGGATTGCATGGCACTGAAGCAGAGGACTGGAGAGTAAATGGGGCCTGCACAGTCATCCTCCATGCACACATTTTATTTCCCAGTATGGGAGCCTGTACCGAAGGGGAGAAGGGACTTGCCCTGTGTCATACAGTCCAGGGCAGGACCAAGACATGGAGATGTTTCTTGGTAGGAAACTTTTCTGTCAAGCCGAGTGACCTCTGTGCCCAGGTGGGGGAGGTGGCACCATGTTGGGCGCTTTACGGAGTTCCTTTACCTTCTCCGTTCCTCCCTGCTCCTGGGGTGGAAGTTGCTCTTTTGACACAGTGGCTAAGGGCATGGGACTCTAGGGTCAGACTCTCCAGGTTTGACCTCTGGCTTTGTCACTTACTATTTAAAACGTTTTGGGCAAATTATTTTCACCCCACTGGGTCTGTTTTCTCATCTGTAAATGGAGATAATAATAATATCTATTTTACAGGGTTGTTGCAGGGAATGGATGAATACATATAAAGCACTTAGCACCCTGGGCAGATCAACAAATGGGTTGTTTTTATTCTTACGTATCCCTTGGGTTTGACCACAATTGGATAGGCCCCTTCAGTTGCCCAGGTAGCAACATCTGGTTATGGGGAGGGAGAGGCTGCTTTCTTCTGTGAACACATCGGTGCCTTTGTGGGTCTGCTTTGTCAGGCAGAGGGTTTGGCTATCAGGGAATGGGACCTGGGATCCATACATTTAAGGTGGGGGAATCTTTAGGGGAAGATCAAATGAAGATCAGAGGCCTGGAGCATGGTTTTGGGAAGGGAAAGTTGTTGCTGATGCTGGAGGATGCGAAGTACTCAGAAGTCAGGGGCAGCTGGAGAAGCTACCCACGTCATCCCCTCTGCCCAGCCCCGGTCAGATGCTTGGCAGGCAGATGGAGTGAGCGGGTGTGCTTTCTTCACAGAGTGGGTGGAGGGGACACTCCATCCCACAGAGCCTTCTGAGGGCAGGGCCTAAGCTCCTGCCTGAGGCATATGCAGAGTGGTAAACAGTGTATACAGTGCTGACTGCCCAAGCCAGCTGCAGACCCACTTTCCGGTTTCTGCCAGGATCTGTGCATTAGGGCCTTTTTAGCTGTAGGTGAAAGAAAACCCAACCCCAACTGACTTCAGTGGCAGCTGGATTTGGGGCTCAAAGACATGGATTCTTCCTCCCTGTTTCATGGTCCCCTCCCCTCCCCCATCTCAGGCCCCAGGTGAGCGGAGCAGCTCCAGACTCTCATTCTCCTGGGTGTGATCCTCAGACATCTCGCCCGGGTTCTTGTTGTGTCTTACTGGATCACATTCTCATCCTTGATCCAGTTACCAGTGACATGAGCTGTGACTGGCTTAGGCCACGAACGAAAGCCATGGTGAAGAGGGGCTGGTCCCATTAGGGGGATCAGAGGACAGGCAGTGTCCATGACAGATGTCCACAGCAGTGGCTCCTCCGAATAGAAGCCCTTTCATCAAATAGGCGCAGGGCTCTTTATTTTCTTCTTTGAGGCAGCCCCTGCAGGGAAGAAGAGAAGAGAAAATTGGGGCGGAGCCAGGTGACTGCTCTGTGAGAGGGTCGCTGCGGACTGGAGATGATTTTGGGACCAGACCGTGTGAGACCGATCAGCAGCGGAGGAACGGGGCTTTTTGGGGAAGAACAGCCTCCAGGGTTGGAGGAGCAGGCCTTGCCTGTGTGGAGGACTCTTGGAGGAAGGAAGACTTAGTCTGTTTTGGCCTCAGGGACAGGGTAGAGCTGGGCATTGGAAACTGTGTGAAGTTCAATGTTAGTTCCATTTACGAAGGCCTGTTTCCAACCTCACAGCTGCCTGAGAGCTCAGCTGCCCTGCGAGGTGGGGGTTCCTGTGCCTGAGCATTTGCTGAGCGCTGATGGAGAGTGATTTACCTACGTGATTGCGCTTATCCTGAGAACAATCCCGGACCTTAGGATTATCATTCCCTGCAGAGGGGTTAAGAGGAAGCTTTTCAGAGTTGAGATGGGATTCAAAGCAAGGCCTGTGGACTCCAGCATCTGTACTCTCCACTTTACCTAGCTGCCTCTTAGCGGGAGAGTAATCACCCATTGTGAGTGAGGATAGAGTTGTTGCGATTCTGGTGTGAGATAATCTGCTCAGCCTTGATTGTGTTCTGTGATTTGTGAGTGATTTAAGACTGGCTTTTCTTATCTACAAAACAGAGCTAATAATATTCTCACAAGAGTACTGAGAAGACTAAACAAGACAAAATGGGAAGATGCTTTGAATATATAAATCCAAGGTCAGTGGAAGGGGATTTGAATAGTCAGATCTCATGGACAGCTGAGGCTGGGAGCAGCAGGTGACTGTGATGGCCTTGCCCTTCTTGTTCCTGAAGGCCCTACCTGCCACACTGCTTAGCTGAGCTAGCCAGCAATGCTTCTAGCTGTCCCTGGTTCCATCCCTCACAATTTTATGTTATTGTTTTTTATAACAATTTATTATGGATTTACTTTTTTGAAACAGGGCATCTCTCTGTTGTCAGGCTGGTGTGATCTCAGCTCACTGGAATCTCTGGCTCACAGGCTGAAGCGATGCTTCCACCTCAGCTGGGACTATAGGTGTACACCACCCTGCCTGGCTAATTTTTTGGTATTTTTTCTAGAGATGAGGTTTTGCCATGTTGCCCAGTCTGGTCTCAAACTCCTGAACACAAGCAATCCTCCTGCCTTGGCCTCCTAAAGTGCTGGGATCACAGACGTGAGCCACTGCACCCGGCCTTATTGTTCTGAATATAGACAAAATACATGTGTTTTGAATAAAATTTGGAAATGTAGGCTAATCAAAAGAACATAAAGATATCCATTACTCCATCTACTCAAGGCAGTTGCTGTTAACACTATAGTTCATTTCCTTCCAGATCTTCTCTACACCTCCTATATGTGTGAAATTTTTTTTGTAAAAGTGGGATTATACCACATATACTGCTTTGTGACCTGCTTTTTCTACTTCACTATAGATTGTAAACACTTTCCGTGACAGTGGATACATTTCTGTAACATTTAAGCAGCTGTATGACATTTCATGATATGGATGATGTATAATCTATTTAACCAAAGCCTCTAGTTTTGGATGTGTAGGTGGTTTTCAGTTTTCCACTGTTATACACGAGGCTGTGATGTGTACCCTGTCAGCATGGTCTTTGTGCCTGTTCTTAATGATTTCCCTAGGAGAGCTTTCCAGAAGTAGAGTTTCTGGGTCAAAAGAGAACTCTTTCCAGATTGCCTTGCAGAACAGCTGTACCTGTGTGCGCGCCTTGCTGCAGGGTGAGGAAACAGCCTCCTCTCATCCCAGCCAACACTGAATGCCATCCCTTTGACTGAAAAATCGGCATTTATTCTTCAGCTGTGTATTGAGTGTAGGCTGTTTGGAAAATAAAGAAATATATATATACTTAATATTTATTTAAAAATATTTATAAATAGAATCGGTTACCATACTGTTAGTTGAGCTGGTTAACCACTGTTACTCATACACACACACTATATATAATGTATTTAATATTTATATATATAAATATATATATTTAATACAATTGGGATTATGCTTTATATACTATTTTATTTTCTTTTTTCACTGTGTGTGTATGTGTATACAATTACTTTTCTATGTCATGAAATATTTTTGAAAACATAGTTTTTAAAGGCTGCACAGTGGTGTGCCTTATGGATTTTTTTCTTTTTTTGAGATGGAGTGTTGCTTTGTCGCCCAGGCTGGAGTAAAGTAGCGAAATCTCGGCTCACTGCAACCTGTATCCCCCACATTGGGCTCAAGGGATCCTCCTGCTTCAGCCCCCAAAAGTGGCTGAGACTATAGGCATGGGCCACCACGCCGGGCTAATTTTTGTATCTTTTGTAGATATGGGGTTTTGACACGATGCCCAGGCTGGTCTTGAACACCTGGGCTCAAGCGAGCCTCCTACCATGACCTCCCAAAGTGCTGAGATTACAGATGTGAGCCGCGGTGTCCGGTCGATGAATATTTTTGAACCAGTTGCCCATGAAACATCTAGGCCATTTCAGTTTTCATATTATAAATACACTCTATAGCTTTTTTTCCTGATTTATTTTATTTTGGTAAAACACATAAATCAAACATCTTAATCATTTTTAAATGCGCAGTTCAGTGGGATTAAATGTATTCTTCGCATTGTTGTGCCGTCTGCAGAACTCCTTTCCTTTTAAAAAGTCATGAAACAATAACCCCCCATTCCCCACCTCCCCCCAGCCCCTGGCAGACACCATTCTACTTTCTATCTGTCTGATTTTGCCTACTCCAGTTACCTCATATAAGTGGAGTCATGTGTCATTTGCCTTGTTGTGACTGGCTTGCATTTCATTTAACATAATGTCCTCAAGGTTCATCCATGTTGTAAAATGTGTCAGAATTTTCTTTCATCTACAGGCAAAATAATACTCTATGGTGTGAACATGCCACGTTTTGTCTCAATTTGTGGCCTAACACGTGGTCCGTCCTGGAAAATGTCCCATGCATACTTGAGCAGAAAATTGGGTAGAGTGACTGGTTGTGTCTGTTAGATCTAGTTGGTTTATTGTGTTAGGTCCTCTGTTTCCTTACTTCTGTCTGGTTGTTCTATTCATTATTAAGAGTGGGTGGTTGACGTTTCCAACTACTACTATGGAACTTTCTGTTTCTGCCTTCAATTCAGTATATGAAGTTTTGGCTTCATATATTTTGACGGTCTGTAGTTACATGTGTAAATGTTTATAACTGTTACATCTTCTTATTGTATTGACGCTTTTATTAATATATAATATCCTTCTTTGTCTCTTATTTTTTATTTTTACAGATGGAGTCTCATTCTGTCACCCAGGCTGGAGTGCAGTGGTGCTGGCATAGCTCACTGTAACTCTGAATTCCTGGGCTCAAGAGATTTCCTGCTTCAGCCTCCCAAGTAGCTAGAGCTACAGATGTGTACCATCATAACTCTGCTATTTTAATAAAATTTTTTGTAGAGACAGGGTCTTGCTATGTTGCCCAGGCTGGTCTCAACCCCCTAGCATCAAGTGACTCTCCTGCCTCAGCCTCCTAGATAGCCGAGATTACAAGAGCATGCCACCACTCCCAGCACCTTTTTTGATTTAAAGTCTATTTTGTTGGGTATTAGTATAGCCATCCCTGCTCTCTTGATTACTATTTGTGTGAATATCTTTGTTTATTTGTTTTGAGACAGAGTCTCTGTCACCCAGGCTGCAACACACTGGTGTGATCCCAGCTCACTGCAGCTTCAACCTCCTGAGTTCAAGTGATCCTTTTGGCTCAGCCTCCCAAGTAGCTGGGATTAAAGGCTCATGTCACCAAGTCTGGCTAATTTTTTTTTTACATTATTATTTTTTAATTTTTTGTAGAGATGGAGTTTTACCATTTTGGCTAGGCTGGTCTCAAACTCCTGACCTCAGGTGATCTGCCCGCCTTGGCCTCCCAAAGTGCTGGGATTACAGGTGTCAGCCAGGGTGCCTGGCCCAACATCTGTCTAATTTTTAAATTTTATTTTGTAGAGATAAGGTCTTACTTTGTTGCCCAGGCTGGTCTTGAATTCCTGGGCTTAAGCAGTCCTCCCACCTCAGCCTTCCAGAGTGCTGGGATCAGAAATGTGAGCAACTATGCCCGGTTGGAATATCTTTTTCCATTCTTTCACTTTCAATGTATATGTGTCTGTGGATCTAGAGTCTCTTGTAGACAGCATATAGTTGGATCATGTTTTTAAAAATCCATTCTGTCAATCTCCATCTTTTTGATTGGAGAGTTTAATCCATTTACATTTAAAGTAGGCACTGATGAGGGATTTGCTGTTTTCTACATGCCTTATAGTTGTTTTGTCCCTTGTCTTCTGCATTATTGTCTTTTTTTGTTAGTTGATTTCTTTTTGTAGTGAAATGTTTAAATTTCTTTCTCATTTTGTTTTGTGTACATTTGATAGCTATTTTCTTTGTGGTTGCCATGAGGATTCCATTTAATATTCTAAAGTTGTAACACTAACTTAAATGTATACCAGCTTGCTTGACTAACATACAGAAACTCCATTCCTGTAAAGCTCTATCCCTACCCCTTTCTGTTACTGATGTCACAAAATTATATCTTGATATATTGTATGCCCCCAAACATAAGCTAACAATTCTTTTAAGTGTATTGTTTCTTAAATCATATGGGAAACAAAACATGGAATTATAAACCAAAGTTATGATAATACTAATTTTTGAGCAATAATTTAAAAATGCATTAGTTTTTTAAGTCATGCAGATAAGTGGAGTTACAAACCATTGTTACAATAATACTAGTTTTATAATTACTAATATATTCACTTTTATTGAGATCCTTATTTCTTTATATAGCTTAGAGTTACTGCTTAGTGTCCTTTTATTTTACTTTGCATGGCTTCTATGAGCATTTCTTGCAGGGCAGTTTTAGTGGTTAAAAAAAAAAACCCAAAACTCCTCAGCTTTCGTTTACCTGGAAATTTCTTAATTTATCTCTCACTTTTGAAGGACAGCTTTGGCAGATATGGGATTCTTGGTTGATATGGTTTGCTGTATGTCCCCATCCAAATCTCATTTCAAATTGTAATTCCCATGTGTTGAGGGAGGGACCTGTGATCCCCATGTATCAAGGGAGGGGTGCGGTTTCCCCCAGGCTGTTCTCCTGATAGTGAGTTCTCATGAGATCTGATGGGTTTTTTTTGAGACAGAGTTTCGCTCTTGTTACCCAGGCTGGAGTGCAATGGCGTGATCTCAGCTCACCGCAACCTCCGCCTCCTGGGTTCAGGCGATTCTCCTGCCTCAGTCTCCTGAGTAGCTGGGATTACAGGCATACACCACCATGCCCAACTAATTTTTTGTATTTTTAGTAGAGATGGGGTTTCACCATGTTGACCAGGATGGTCTTGATCTCTTGACCTCGTGGAGATCTGATGGTTTTATAACTGTTTGGAAGGTCCTCCTTCACTCTCCCTCTCTCCTGCTGCCTTGTAAAGAAGGTGACTGCATCCCCTTCCACCATGATTGTAAGTCTCCTGAGGCTTCCCCAGCCATGTGGAATTGTGAGTCAATTAAATCTCTTTCCTTTATAAATTACCCAGGCTCAAGGAAGTTCTTTATAGCAGTGTGAAAACAGACTAATATATTGGTTGACTTTAAATATATCAGCTGATTGTAATCTGGCCTCCTATGTAATATGGCCTTCTATTTCACCAAATTTCAGAAGTTTTCAGTCATTAGTTCTTTAAATATTCTTGCTGTCCCTTTCTCCCTTTTCTTTCTATAATTCCTGCAATGCACGTTTGTTCTCTTGATGGTGTTCCACATGTTTCTTAGGCTCTGTTCACTTTTCTTCAATCTTTTTTTCTGTTTGTTCTTCAGTGTCCTACTCATTTTTTATGCTGCTGTCACATAACACCAGAAACTGGGTAGTTCATAAAGAAAAGAAACTTATTTCTCACATTCCTGGAAGAGTACTTCCTGCTGGGAAGTCCAGTATGAAGGTTCTGGCATCTTGCAAGGGCTCTCTTGCCTTATCATCCCATGGTGGAAGGTGAGAGGGTGAGAGAAAGAGGGAAAAGGGGGCTGGACTTCCTCTTTTATAATGAGGAAGATAATGGCATTAATCCATTCACTCTGTCCTCATGGTCTGGTCATCTCTCATTAGGCTGTACCTCCCAACACTGTTGCAATGGGGATTAAGACTTCAATACATGCTTTTTATGGGACACATTGAAACTACAGCACTTATTCTAGGTAATTTCTATTGTCTTGTCTTCAAGTTTGCTGCCTGCTCAAGTTTGCCTTTGAAACCCCCTAGTGAATTTTTCACTTTACTTATTGTACTTTTTCAGCTCTAGAATTTCACCTCAATTTTTTATAGAGACAGGGTCTTAACCTGTCACCCAGGCTTGAACACTGCGGCACTATCACAGCTCACTGTGACCTTGAGTGCCTGGGCTCAAGCGATGCTCCTGCCTCAGCCTCCCGAAGTGCTGCCATTACAGGTGTGAGCCACTGCACCCAACCCAGAATTTTTTATTGGTTTCATTTTAGGTTTTCTATCTCTTTTTGACATTTCCATTTTGTGCATATATCATTTTCTTGACTTTCACCACATCTTCCTTTAGTCCCTTGAGCATCTTTAAAATGGTTGTTTCTTGGTCTGGTAGATATGCCATCAGGTCTTTTTCAAGGACAGTTTCAATTGATATATGTTTTTCCTCTGAATGGGATGTTCTCTCCACTTTTTTGTATGTGCCTTGTGATTTTTTAAATTGTTGCTTGAAAAGTGGACATTTGAATCTAATAATATGATAACTCTAGAAGTAGGATTCTCCCTGTTCTGCAGGGTTTGCTGTTTTTTGT